GTCAAGAGTTAACAAAACAAAATTGCTGATATTTCGTTCCGATCTCCAGTACGTATGTTGGCATAGCTCGTTAGTTTAGATATTGTGACGTTCACCGATCAGTAATTGGTAACCGCTTGATACAATTGTGTTCGATTCACGTTGGCAAACGTTTTTTTACCACTTTTCTTTTCCCATCTCTCTACACCAGCAGCAATATAGGATAAAAACAAAAGATGATTGACGCGCATAAATCGATCGTGCTTCGCGTTCGAATACTTTTTATCTCTCTCTCTCTCTCTCTCTCTCTCTCTCTCACTCTCTTTCAACGTTTTTTTATATTTTTTCCCTGAGATTGACGAAGGAGTGGGAGGGAAGTAAACTCGTCAAGTATCGCTTCGTTTAAATTTAAACAGCTTTCACGTTACTCTTCACGTATACTCTATCGATACGTATATATATAAAATATATATATATATATATTTACCTGCATAGGAGATCATTCTTTTATCTCGCCATCATCGCATCAATCGTATTTTTCATTCTCTCTTTCTCTCTTTTTATCTATTGAATAATATACGCGTTGTAACTATATAAATACATTTTTAATTTGTAATTCGTATTACAAAGCCCGATTTAAATAATTAATAATGCAATTATTATGCCCAAGTATACTCGGGAAATTTCGTCAGTTCGTTTTAGTGTACTTCGAAACTTGTGATTGTGCATTGGCCGCAGGTGCGCTTCATAGTTTAACGACATATGTCAGATATGCGCGTATATCTCGTGCATTACGATAACGTTAGAGGAGATCGAATAGGTAAACCAAACGCATCATTTATTCTCCAAGAATTATTACTCGTTGTTTACTTATGCGCTTTATCGAACTAACGAACTAACGAACGAACGAACGAACGAACGAACCAACCAACGAACGAACGAACGAACGAACGAACGAGTATCCTTCCTCTCTTTCTCTTTCCATTTTCGGAGGTCACTGTCCATCCAGGTCGTTGAACTCAAGCGAAAGAAAATAATTCTCCGATTCGTGATCGTATGGAATAAAAGATTGAGAAGAGCGTAGGGAGAGGTATATGTGTATGTATAGGGGTGGAAGGGGAGGGAAGGGTAAGAAGGGAGATGTTACAGGTTGACACGTCGTCCATTAACGTCACGTGAAATTTCATCTTTAGATTAGCTCGTTAATCTCAAGAGAAGGGAGGGAGAGAGAGAGAAAGAGAGAGAGAGAGAGAAAGAAAGAAAATGTCTTTTTTTCAGTAGGCGAGGAAAAGGAGAAATAATCGTACGTAGGCCGTTGTTATGGCAAAGTAGAATCGAGTTGAATTCGGGTGTCGACACGTATACACATATCTGGCAATCAATCGATCTGACTGTGATGGGTTATTAATTATCCGTGTATATTCCCACGCGTGGTAAAGCATCAGGCAACGACGCAATGCCGCAAACAATCATCGTCGAGGCTTCCTGACAACAGATCACCTAGTAGAATATTGCATTACGCCTTTCCCCCTTTCGAACGCGATAAACCACCAACGATCGTTGGACTCACTCTCGTAGTTGGGGCCCACCGATCGTATTTCGATTGAAACATTAAAACCTGAATGAGATTCTATGGGTATCGATCGCGAATTCACATCCCTGATGAGAATCGATATTATAGCGTCAAGGCCGAAGTCGTTCCGTGCTTTCGAATATCTTCGTACTCTCTCTCTCTCTCTCTCTCATCTTTCTCGCTCTCCTCTCTTAAAAGCACACTCATACACATACACATATACATACATGTAAGCATGTTACATATACTTATATACATATATTCTCTCGCTCACCCTTTCAGACTATTGCCTATACTGAATTACCTGTCTACCCTGGCTTACGTGAGAAAATCGAGCTCGTTCGTCGTAATAAGATAACGATATCGTCCTGTCGACGCTAGAGATTCGTGCTGTTCACCCGAGCGAAGATCGAATGGAAATCTCGTCTGGATATTATTTAAATAGAACACCTATCATTTTAAAACTTTTAATTGATCGTACACCTTTTATCGTTTTCTTTTAAACGTATTATATTATATAATTTTGAATGTGTATCATTTATATGGATAAATGATCGCTTTTATATATATCTATATAAATTTAACCTAATATTTCGATATTGATTTTAAATATTTATTTTTCATTATTTCGCAAAAGTACGAAAACAATAAGTTTAAAGAGAGGATAGAAATTTGTTTGACATTTTAAATAAACCGTAATACGAGAAAAGGGAGAGAAAAGAAATCCTTATACTTTTATTGAAGTAATTATATCTCGTATACAATTTTAATCGTATATCGTAAAAATTCTTCTACATATTTCAAATCTCACGTACATTAAAAAACGATGTACAATACTACACAGAGAACATATGTAATAATCGATTCGAATAAGATAACCCTTCGTTCCGACAGATAGTCAAATTTGTTCTCCGTTCGTTCGGTTTCGGTTTCGTATTTCATCGAATGACGATAACGAGACTCGATTCAAAAATTTAAATCACGAAAACGCGTTTGAGATCTTGACGACATAACGCATCAGCGTGAATTCGCGACGGGGCTAGTGACGACAACGGTATGAAAAAAAAAAAGAAAAAAAGGGGAAAAAAAAGAAAATAGGGAAAAACTGACGAAAAAGAGTGAGAGAGAGAGAGAGAGTTAAAAAAAAAAAAAAGAGAGAAAAAGGACGCCGCGCGTAACGCGGACTATCGATCAATGCGAACGCACGGTCGGGAGAGGCAGTCAGCGGGAAAAATATCGTCTCCAAAGCGAATCTCGGTCACGTTTCGTCGGTGAGTTCATTCCCGTAATGAAACGGAGAATCTCGAAAAATTCAAATCGCTAAGGGAAGTCGGGAGAAATAAGGGAGAAGACAACAAAGCTTTTCCTCGTCTCGGTTTTATCCTTTTCCATACCGAGATAGGAGGAAGAAGTCTTGTACGATATTCGGCAAAAGCCGAAATTCCATTGTAGAAGTTTCGAAATAACCTAACGGGATTCGAGGGAGATGGGTGATGGGGGGATGCGTTAGAATAGCTCGGGTGGATAGTTTGGAGAATAGGAAAAGACAAAAAATGGAGAAAATAAAAACAAGCGAAACTAATAGAAAAGAATCGCCTGGAAACGGAAAGGAGATGAAAGCGGGAAGAAGGTTGAAATAAGTATAGCGTTCCAGATATTTCATATCCCCGAGTTTTCGATTTCTAACCCGATCTTATTACGGGTACTGAAAGTCCTTGCAAAACAAGATCATCGTATGACCAAATCTCACGCGAAACTGTGAGAGAACTGATGAAGAGAGAGAGAGAGTTGGGTGGATGGCAGTTTTCTATTGGTCGTAATAAAGTCGCTCTTTCGAAGTTTCCCTCGTCACGAAGAAATCTAGCAGGATACCAAAGTATCTCGTTATCGCAAATCGTTGAAAAATTTCATCCCGAAACGGACGCCGGGACGTTATCTTTTTCTCTCTCTCTCTCTCTCTCTCTCTCTCTCTCCATCTTTCTTTGACTTTTTACTCTCGTACGTCTTTTCGCGTGCCTCGCTTACAAAATAGATCGGTCGTCGACGTTTCGCGAGATCGACTGCAAGATAAAATCGGGGCTCGAATTCGAAATCGTGGCGCCGTTCTTACCACATCGTGTTTTATGATGTCAATCCTTTCGTTTTCTCTCTCTCTCTCTCTCTCTCTCTCTCTCTCTCTCTTTCAATCTTTCCATCTTTTTGTGAATTTCTTTTTAACTCGACCGGAGCTCGCCCTTTCGAACGTCCAAGTTTGCTTCGTAAATTTGGTAAGGGCCGATGTAAAAGTCACGAATCCGGAAGAGACGCCTAAGGGGGAACGAAAAAGCGAAGTATCATTCAGCGGAACGTGTGTATCGCGTTTCCCAGTCTTCAAAAACTAGCATGAAAACCTAGGTGGAAAGGAAACATCGGCATGAATTGCGAAAGGAAACGTCTATGTATATAAAAGTATACATATATATATATATATATATATATATATACATACGTACGTATAATACCAAGGTATAATAAGGATAAAAAGTAGCAGGATCTACGATGATTCACGAGCTAAGTTTTCTTGTGAGATATTACCGGTAGACTTAAAAATAAAGCGGTTGTTTTACTACATCCTTTGAAAAAGCTAGGGAAGGATAGGATATGGAAGAGGACAAGGAGGAGGGGGAAGAAACACATCTAATTAGCTACGAAAGACGTGCTGGCGTTTACAACATACTAGAAAACTACTCCCCAGAGTCGACGTCTCATTTCGTTCGTTTTTATTAGGATCCAGTTAAAAACCATGTAAAGAAGTACGAGAGAAAAGTGAAGAAAAAAAGAAAAAGAAAAGATAAAAGAAACGAAATTATCCGTAAGCTTACGATATCGCTTTTGGCGAACGTAACAAAGCCACCAGATCAAAAATTGAAATCACGATGAAAAGTTCTCATTCGGGAAACGAGTTTATTGTTTAGATTTAAAAACAAAACAAAAAAATGAAAAAACAACCCTGGAAGTCACAGAGAGTTAAAAAGTCAGTTATAAAGCGTAAATCCAATTTATCGTTATCGACGTATCGATAGAGAGGACGTTAAAGATGAATGCACGCAGAGAAAGCTACGATTTATTTCCTTTGTAGAGATTATTGGGAGAACAAAGCTATTATTCTAGCGAATTAAAAGATAGATAGAGAGAGATAGAGATTATATATATATATAAAAATAGAGAAAAAAAAATGCATTTGTAGGTGTTGGATCGGCGAGGGAGAAAGACAGAAATAAAAAATAATTGTTATTTTAGTTACGATCTGTTGCGTAAAGTATTAGGAAAAAAATGAAATGATTATCTAGACTTTGGTCATCCTGGTCGGGATTTGGTCTTGGTCTTGGTCGTGGTCGAGGATGCGTGCGCAGACGAAGACGAAGGGTGAAGCGCTCCTGGGGGTTGATATAACCGCAGTCGGTGGGATGCTGTTCCGTCCGTGCTCGTAGCCTTCACTCGGCCGCGCTCGGCAAAACTCGGGAATCTCCGTGGATCTCTGCGGGGGCAGAGGCCTCCTTCCCTTCTCTCGAGAGTACCGCCAGTGCTCACACTCCCGCGTAAGCGAGCGGCGGCGTATACGCGTACGATACCTTGCATCACCTATCACGGAAAGTCCAATCCGTACGATTCTAATCTACGCGCGCGTTTACGGCTATCATTTATTATTTTATTATTTATATCCATCTCTCTCTCTCTCTTCGACCAATTAATTCCATTTGCGTCGTTTCTTTTATCTCTTGTCATCTCGTATCTCTCGTATCGCTCCTTAAATCGTTTTACGATTTGGTGCAATTTGATAAACATACAGAGAAAGAGGGAGAGAGATTGAATGAGTTAGTGAGTGAGTGAAAAAGCGTGGAAATTTCATTGGAAACGAGCGCTGATAGTGATCAAAAAGGAAGGAAGGAAGGAAGGAAGGAAGGAAGGAAGGAAAAAGGAAGTAATAGAATAAACGTTCAAAGGAGTGGGGTTGGTCTATGCATCCGATAAAATATTGTTTCATCGAACAAGGATTTACGAATTTCTTGACGTGATGTCAAATTCTACGATTCGAAGGATTCGAGACAAGGCGTGCCGATTCGTGATATATCTCTCCTGTCGTTTCTGAAACGACAATCCTGTGTTCTCCGATTGAAATTAGAAGAACGGAGTTTTGAATTAAATCTGGGATACAATTTTCGATGGATAATATCGTCCGTACGAATTGTTTTCGTATAGAATCTAATGGATTTCTTTAATTAGTGACAGGTTAGTGGACATTTACGCGAGGACGGATCGTAACTGCAGTATCGCGATTGGTGATTCGTTTAAATTGAAAATTAAATTCAGTTTAATGAAAGATCGTTCAATCGTGCAGTGTCAGTTTTATTTTTATATCGTTAATTCTGTCATCGTCGTTCGTGGCCACGTGAGACAATCATCATCGGATATAATTTTGGGATCGTGAGAACGGAAAAATACGGTTTTGGAAAAGTGCACGTATAAAAGTCTTCCTATTCCTCTTCGATGCCTTTTTTTCAAAAAGTTTCATCGATCGTAAAAAAAGGTTCGCATAGCGACAAGGTACTTAACATATTTCGTGACTGTTGACAAAAAAAAGGGAAGACAACATTTCGTCGGTTCTACTACTACGATTTTGCTAAAAGTTTTTGGAGCGAGAAAAGAAGTGTTCCGAAAATCAAGCAAACGGTGTTCCCCTATTGGTAGACAAAATTGTCTGATCAAGATATAATAATATAACAATCAGTTTATACTCTCTCTGCAAGTGATTTTTTGTTCACTTGAAAAGTTTATAATTCGTCGTCGTCGTCGAAAGTTCAAAGGATTAAATATTCATAGGATATTTTGTTGTTATTGTTCTAATGAAGTTTTTAATGATCATAATAAAAAATTCGTCGGTCGTAGAACTGTGTCTATGAGAAAGAAACAAGCGTGGTGAAAGACGCCCATAAAGTGGATCGAGGGAAGAATATCTTGAATTTGGCTGGCAGTTGCACATTGGCGGTCGTCAAGAACGGTCACGAGAACGGAGAACTAAATAATTTTTCTTCCATTTCGATTACCGTTATCGATTTATTTCTATCTCTAATTAATAATTATTATTATTTTATTTATATTATATTCGTGGTTACGTAATGTTCCTCGTGTTGATAACTGTAAACAAAAAAATATTTGTCAGTGAATATTTATAGGTTTTTATAATCGAATCAATTATAATATATCAAGATCGATCGATAATGTGTGCTTAGGAAGAGACTGAATCTTTTATTTTTAATCTATTCCCTTTGTTTTTTTACTTGCAATAATATTCATCGATTGTGATAAAAAATCAAGCAGTGTTATTTTTCATTCTGTTGTTGTTGTTTTTTGTCTCTTGGAAAAGCAAGATCTTTTTTATTTCTAAGAAAATTAAAGTTCGTCGTATACTAGGAAAAAATAGAAAGAGAAAAGAAGACGTGGGTGTTTACCTATCCAAAGGAATTTTGTGTGCTAACGTTGTCGATGTGATTCCAATAGTGTTTTATTTTACCATCTCCTTTGGACATATGAAATTCAACGACTTGGACATCATGCCAACGACGAGGATTCTCATTTTCTTCGCCTTATGCATCACCCCTATCGTAAAAGGTATTCATCTTTTATACGTTTTTGTTGAGAACTTTTTATTTCATAGACGTTCCGATTCGCCATGTTTTTTGTTTTATTTCTTTTTTCTCGAGTAAACGAAAACGCGTTAAATCAGGAACCGTTTGAAATTTTGATCAGTAATCGTTTAAATTCGAAATATTCATAATAAATCATGAATTTTATATACGTAAAAATAAATGAAAAAAAGAAAAGTAAGATTGATGAACGGGTTCGTGAATTATAGAAAAAAAAAAAATGTCGAAATGAGAAATATTTGAAATTCTTTAATCGTCGATGCTTCCTGCAAAAAATATTAAATGGAAGATAAAATAATTTGTTCGATGAACACATTTATTTAATCTAATTGTTAAATAAAAACAAGTATCCACTTAAATGATATTTTTGGAATTTCGTGAGAAGTATTTTTATTTTGGGGAATTTTTTGTCTTTAAACGAAAAAGTACTTACTCGTTTACATAATATCACTTACACGAATTTTAACTGATTTTCTTTGGAGAGCTTTTCACATATCTACCTAGTAACGAATACACAAATTTTATATTGGAAATTAAATTTTTGGTTCGCGTGTAGTTTTTTCTCGCGTGATACAATTGTAACGAGTCGAATTACGATATTTTATCGCGTTTGCCAATGGGGTAAAAATTGGGAAAAGTTGGGAAAAGCAAATTTCTTTGCGAAATACTACCGAGTATATATGTATACGTATACACGAGCATTGCGTGAAAGCTCTTCTCACGATAAAAATTCGGATTAGAGATTCTCTATTCGGTGGAATATCGCTATCGTCATCATTTCGCGATTAAATTTCAATCATAACGTTTTCTATGCGTTCCTGTGTGTTACGTTCGTGTACGAGTATATTTGAGCGAATATTCGCGTGGCTATTTTTTCCTTCAAAAGAAAAACAAAAAAAAGCAACGTTTCACGCTGCCCAAATTCATTTGATTTTATACGTATGTATCTTTCTGAATATTCTATGCATAGGTGGTATACGTGTTTTATATAAAAAAAACCGCGATGCAACGGGACGGTGTTTGCACATTTTAGCATCTTTACTTCTCAGTAACACCTTCGGATTTTGACCGGTTATCCAACTGTTTTCTATTCAAAAGTTTTCTTCCTTAAAATGTTCAATATAGGAATAATGATTAAACGATATCTTTTTTACATTTTTACCGTTTTACATTATAGAATATTCCTTGCATTATACATTTATTTCGACAGATTTTCTATTTTTTTTTTCGGGTTAAGGATCTATCAAATTTTAATTTAATGTTTTCTTTTTGTTTGTTTTTTTTTTAATTAATAGCACGTGTAAAAAGAATTAGACTAAATAATGGAAATATTATGTTATCATTATTTTGTTCTGCCTCTATGTACACGTGCGCGCACACATGTATTTATTTTTATTTTTTTTTTTTTATTTCATTGTTCTTTATTTCTCTTTCTCCATTTCGAAAAGCGTATGTAATCGGCGGAAAGAAAAAAGTTCCCACGTACATCTGACGAGAGCTGCGAAAACTTCGGCTGTGGTATAAACCGTTTTCACAAAGACGTTATGCTACATAAGGGTTTCTTTTGGAAGCATTTTCTCAGAAACTATTACGTTTAACAAGGCGTGGCTCTTTTCTTTTTACCTGGTATAAAATTTTCCGGAAAGTAGACGGAAAAGCACGTAAAGCGATTATTATAAGGATATTTTCCTCTCGCAGTCAGCATTAATTAACTAAATGCGTATCACAATTATCTTTCACACATTTATATACATAATATAATATTTATTTATTTATTTATTTATTTCCCTTTCTTTTATTATATATATATATATATTTTAAAAAAAGGATCTCGGAAAAAGAGATAAAGATAAATAGAGATAATGCATAATTTCGAATTTATGTTCAATCGGAAAGATATAATTGTTCATAATGTGCAACACTATTGAGATATTTTTCACGAGTGTTTCAAAAGAGATAAAAAAACAACTAAAAGAGATAAAGATAAAAAAAAAAAAACAAAGTAGGATAAAACACGTGGAACAAGAGTGATAGAAATTTTCTCGTTCAAAAATTTCGTCGGATTGTATCGTATCGACTAGCGGTTTGAGTATACTCGCTATCTGATAAGCCGAACGATTTCAAAAATACGCTTTCGAAGCTATTCGTGGCAGGTTAGCATCGAAGCGTGTCTAGGCGGATAACGCCGTTTCAACGGCGCAGTAGGTTTTCCAATGATTTTGTGTGCATGTTCCTGAGGGTGGATGGTATCACTTGCAAACATATAAGAGAGAGAGAGAGAGAGAGAGAGAGAGATAGTAGCGGGAGGGTATAGAAAAGGGGAAGGGAACCCTCAGAATTTGCTTGCAAATGAGAGCACAAGGGTATGTCTCGGTGGGACCTTTTTATCGTGTCGAGACAGATCCTCCTCCACCTTCCACTTCCACCTCCTTCGCTTCTTCCCTTCCCTTCCCTTCCCTTCCCATCACCGAGTGGAAGCTAGGATTTTTGTCCCGATTGTCATTAAACGAAAAAGATAATTATTCTACTTATTCATTTTTCATATCTTTTTCATAACAACTATTAACATAATAATAACAATTTGTCCCGTTATTTCTTCGTCGAATTAAATCTATATCTCTAATCGTTTTTAATATTCTATCGTAGGGAAAGAAAATTATAATTTTTTCCCTTTCTTTTTCTTTGCTTTTTTTTTTCTTCTTCTTTGATTTAATTTTTCTTTTACTATCAACGTGTCCACTCGTCGATATCGTAGACACGATACTCACCGGTGTATCAAAGTATTATTCGCTTACTAGTATCCCTTCTTTGTATCTACGATTTACAAGCATGTACCTATGTTTAATTAAATGACCGGCACCGCCGTGAACAGAATTATATTCCCACCAAACGACTCGGCCGAATAATTGCAATTACGCCGATTAAATCGAACCTCCGACTTCTACCAGTAGTAGAAGCCACCAATAGCACCAACGGCAGTAGCAACACCAGAAAATCGAACGACCATAGTTTTGCTTGCTCGTCTACTCTCTCTCTCTCTCTCTCTTTCTATTTTTCTCTCTTTCTATACACATATATATACATACATACATACATGTACACATTTATATATCTTTCTCTCTCTTACTCGCTCTTCGTAAAATTATTCGAATGAATCTCGATGTTTCAGTGATACATGATTCGATTTGACCGACTTTATCCATCCAACTGTGATACGTTTACCCGTAGTCCTCTCTGTTTCCTTCCCTTCACTCCCTCGCCGTTGCCTCAAGGGGATGGATGGTCTATGTAACAAAAAAAAATATGTTCCTCGTGACGTGCACAAGTGTAATAGTTCGAATATAACGAAACTGGCATCGATCTTTCTCAATATCAGATTTAACGAGTTATTTGTCAACTTCATTGAGAAAATGTATTTACGAATGATACAAGATCGTCATTTTGATTTCATTTGAATTTTTCTTTTTTTCTTTTTATAATGTACATAGGTTAATATTATTATCAGCACTTATGGTATTCATCAGAATTAATTAAAAAAAATTGTGAATCATTCTGATGAATACAGATGCACCATTCTTCAAGGGAGTGCAAACACAAAACAGAATGGCTATTGTTTAATGTAACGATAAATGAAATTTAACTAATACATTTAACCCGTACAAATTTGTACAATCGTAATAGGAGGAAAACCACGAATACTAATGCGCGAGTATTTGACGGTACAACGTCACAAAGAAAATCATTACGTTTGTTATACGTGTTGACTCGCCTACGTATTTTTTGTTTTTTCTTTTTTTTTTTTCATGGAAATATATAAAGGATAAAATATAACGCGTTGTTTAATTTATTTGTTCACGATTACAAGGTTTAGTAGTAATACGAAAAAGTGATAATAATTAATAAATGTGTCGCAGAGAAGGCTGGACAAGGTAAAAATAGAATTCAGAACCTTGTCCAACTACCCTCTGCGATACATTTATTAATTATTTAATTTTTCAACGTGATAAACAACCAATTGAGTGATAATAATCATTTTTGACGACGAAATTATCGCGTTTACCAACACATATTTCGAATTTAATTATTAAAAGAATGGACCTAAAGGTTTTAGGAGTTTAATGTTGAAATTCTCTCTTGTTCGGAGAGTGTTCCTGCGGGTTAGCGATATACATAAGAAAATTCTTCTTCTATGAAAGTAGCTAAGACGTCGATGTCGTTTGCGACAGATAATTTAAAGTCTGAAGAAAACTTCTATATACCCACTTCTATAGTCGCCGTAATATTCTACGTGCATGCGAGAAAGTTGTAAGTTCGTGGAGCATAATCCTCATTCTGGTAACTACTGATATTCGTTTTAAAGCTTTTCGTATCGCGTTAGTCGAGATTCTAGCCCGAAAATCCGAGAGTTCGTTTCCCCGATGGTGCGACTTTAATATTATCAACGCTTGGGTCATATTCCGGTGACCCAAAGTATTCGATCCTTTTCATGATAAAACACACACACAGAGATACAGATACAGACACACCTAGTATTCGAAATAATTTATAGTATATTCATTCCTCGAATGTCAATTAAAATGTGATACTTATTCATATTTCATTAAGTTTTATATTACAGAAAACATAGGTATATAAAATAATTTATAATTTGTTAATTAATATATATATTTTTTATATACACGAATACCGAAACGAGATCATTAAAACAAGGATGGGTGAATGTAATCAAAATTGACACTTGACTGACGTACGGTGTAATTAAATAAACAAAATTAATTTAGATATGTTGGAGAAAAATGTGTACAATTTTGTATGTGTGTTTGTGTGTGTATGAGTCTATATTTTTTTTACATTTTACACGATTTATCAGATTTCTTTTTTGAATTTAAATAGTCATTCGATTTAGAGCCATAAGAAGAATTAATTACAACATCCAAAAGTCCAATTTCAATGATGTCCAAGAAT